CACGCTGTTTGCCATGTCCACCCTGCGCGGACAGATGCGGCACTGCACAGGACGGGAACACCCAAGTTATGGAGGAGCCAATTGCTTGCGGAGGTGTCACAGTTTCTTCGATACTAGTAACAAGAACGGCGCTGAGCCTAGCCCGAGTCCGTGCAACAGTTCAATGTCCATTATGGCATTTCACTTCGTAACCACCCACTCAACCAGCCTTCGTCATGCCTGCTTGATTGAGCTTTGACTCGAATTCTGAGGCGTGCGCAGCGCAGAGCAGCTTCCGGACATCAAGCTCCTCGCAAACATGCCCACGCAACTGGCCTGTCCCAAGGTGCCACTCGAACCAAGTGAGGGAGCAAGTTTTGCTTCTGCGCCGGAAGCGGCTGGAAACTAGCGTGAAAAGCTTGCAGCAGCAGGTTGCAAAGTTAGTTACTGGAATTACGACACATGACAACCGATACCTCAAGTCGTTTGTAAAGTGGCCATCCTCGCGGATTGCATGGCAGCACACCCTAGCATCATTTGCCACTCTGACGCACTTGCAGTCTTAGCTATTCGGCTGAGCCGAACCGACCATGCTGTGGTGCAATGCTGATGCACGCTGCTCCATCCAATTTCTGCACAGCGTTTTCTGAGGTTGAGAGCTGGGATATGTCAACATGCTAAAACCACATGGCGGCTTTGGAGCCTCTGCAGCTGGCGCGTCATCGATCTCAACTGGTCTGCTTTCGCCTCAATCATTCCTGCTCAGTGTTTCTCCTTCCTCGCTGACAGCTCATGTAAGCCAGGCGTAGGTTGCTGTCTATACCGGGCAACTTGGTACCAAGCATCATCTACTTGCAGTCCACAGCATTCAAGACAAGCTGACCCTTCTTAATGGCTGTCGCTCTTGCTTCACTTGATTTTGCTCTCGGGCACCCCGTGACGTGCAGCAATGAATTGCTCAGCTACGCAACGCGCAGCAACCGTCGGGCACAGAATTTACCAAATAATACATGACAATACATGACACAGGCTCTCATGACAGGGCGCATATGGACAGATCGTGCAAGAACTTGCATGGGATGAAGCCCACCGACTGATGCCGCGTGTAACGATGTGAGTTAATCGAATTTGTTTGACACTCAAATCGAATTAAAGTCAAAGGCCTACGGCGGAGTAGCAGGGCAGTCGGCAGCCCCTAGAGACGCCTAGCATTGGGGAGGCAAGGCACCTTCATCAGAACGACAAGCCTTGTCACCCATTCTGGAGGGTTGTATAGGCCAGCTCACCACCCGAACCATGTCCGCTTGCGACGCTTGGCCTATCGACTGGCGACAGGGAGACACAACTTGTGTCGTGGTTCAGAAAGTTCAGACTTTCAGACATGGTTTGTGCACTGCTAAGTTTAAGTAGGCCTTTTTTCATCTGCCTCTGCTCTCGTCAATTGGGGGGCGTCTTCCATTGCAGAAACTCTCGAGGAAGTGTCTGGGGCCATGTGTTGTGACGCGGGTCGGGGGGGCCGGCACAGCTTTCGAAGCGTTGGTTTGCGCCGCGAGGCCACGACGACGAGCAACAGCTTTCGAACGCGGTCGTCAGCCAAGCCGATCTTGGATTTCGGCTTGGTGTCACCCTTGAAACTGTCCGCCCCGTAGATCACGCGCGAAGGATCTCGAGAACCTCGTTCAAAGCTGCCACATCCTGCATCAGCGATAGCAAACGCGAGCATGTGAGGGAGACTGTGACCAAGCCCGAAGTCCAAGTGCCTGCAACATCTAGTTTGCGCCTCCTCGCCATCTCCACCGCCGATTCTCCACTCTTTGGCCCTGGAGTCTCAGCAACACAAGATCACAGCACACGCATGCATCTTGATCCGTCGGCCAAGACTGAGGAACAAGTTGACTCACAGTTGATGACAGGCAAGGATAGGCACAGCAAACTTAAGCCCCCTAGGCAACTGGCACAGTGATCACGAAGACCTGTGCCGAACCCAGCTACTGCAAAGTAGGAAAATTGGGTATGAAGTGTCGAAATTTAAATCACTGTTCCGGCAAAGAAATCACCGGCATCGCCAGGCCTCTGCTCTGCGATTTGCTCCGCGGTTTCTGAGGGCAGCATGTTGATTTCAGAACTTACGCGACAGGCCACCCCAACTGTAGGACAGATAGGACTCTTGCCAACACAATGCAGACGGCCAGACAGTAGAGCGGCGTAGTTACAGATTACAGAGCGAAGGCCTCTGGCTCGGTGCTCCAACAACGTGAAAGCGAAACCGACCAATAGCGACCAAAGCAAACCTGCTGCCTAACGAAACGCGAACCTGTGACACCACAAGCAATATTTCCGACAGGTCACTTCAACTACTGCTTTGGTCCTTCCTAGCCTCCCGTTGAGCAGCGCGCATTTGTATTTGCTCGGGCTGCGACAAGAAGTCGGACCGCCTTGGTTTCCCACCAAACCATCGGTTCTGTTCCATCAGCAAATTCCTCTTATATTTTTAGCACTCGCGCTCGACGAGGTCAGGCGAGGTTTGTGCGGCCTCCACGTGCCCATCGTAGGCTGCGAAATGCAACGCTGTGCGGCCGCCCGCATCCTGAAAGTGCTTGTATTCCCCTTGCACTGAGTGTTTGTGTTGAGGCGGAGCCGGGATTCTGAAACCCGAACTGCACAAGTGTCCTCTGAGTCAGCGTTCACGTCAGCACCTTATTCGCGACGGGAGAAATGTTCGTGGCGAAAATATCATGGTAGACTTCACGAAGCCGCATCCCGCAGCTGCTCTACGTCACTGCGACACCGGCTCTTCTCCGACCTTAGCTCACTGCGTGCTGCCAGCAGCACTGCCACGCAGTCGGCAGCACCGCTCTGGGCGGACAGGGACAAGGCTCCGAGATCCGTGTCTGGATCCTTGCAAGGTATCAGTTCCCACTCTTTCCTGCTGAAGCCGGGCAAGCCGAGCCTGAGAATTGATGATCTTCGCGCAAATGCCCGCAGCCTCAGCCTGAAGTTCCCGCAGTAAAACCCAACTTGAGCAGAATGTGAGTCAACTTGCGCCCCACCCTCGGCATTGCCTCAGAAAGCCGCTGCTGCAGGGTCGCGACATCCCCACTCTCGGCAGCCGCACGCAGCGCAGAAGCCGCAGCTTTGGCAGCCATGCCATGCACGCTCAGTTGGCCGTTCGCGCCGTGCTGTGTCCAAGCTACCCAGCGCTATACCAAAACCCCCCCCCTGTGTCTAGATTAGGTTCGAGTCGGATGCCGCAAGGGACTTGGAATCTTTTGGGAGCTGATTGCGAAGACGCTCAGGTGGCGAGTTCCAGCTGCACAGCCGTACATTCCTTGTTCACTGGTGACACGTGACGGCAAGGCAAGGAGCTTATCCGAGCAAAATCGAATCAATGCGTGCCGAACAAGCTGAGACAACAAGTGCCCGAGGCTTTGGCTGGAGTCTGTTCCTGGGCCGGGTTGTAAGTCATGGGCTCGTCTGTGCAAATGTCCACTCGGCTTCGAACTCTTGTGATGCCGGGGGAAGCAGCCACACTCACAGGCGGCAGATTCCCCATGGAGTATCACGACGTAAGGCATCAGCGAGGCAAAGCTGCTCGGAGCTTGGTCGAAGATCCTTCGACCAAGAAATTCTGCTTAGGAAAAACATGAAGTCTTGAGAATTCTTGCATTGGGGCGTCCGAGCAGTGTGCAAAAGGTGCCAAACAGCCACCTTCCCTCCCGGACAAGTCTAAGTGCAATTGCAACTAGCAGTTAGTATGTGCACTTTGGCGTTTGGTGTCGCCTCTGCCTCGGTGCAGACTTCGCATGCCGCATCCTCCTGCCACAAGGGTGCGCAATTGCAAGATCTGAGGACTGTGAGGCATGTCTCCGCTAGGATCATGCAAATGGAGATCCAAGAAAGCATTCAGCTTAGTATCAGATACGTGCTATCACTGGCTATCATGACGAAACATACGGAAACAGGCGAATGACTACAGTAGATGTTCTACAGTACCTCATCATCCTGCTGGAACATGCTTGTCCACGGTGCCTGGGTGGGCACGTGCGCTGTAGCAAGCATCAGCAGATCAGCTGGAGTATGCGAGGCAGCGGCCAGCCATGCCCCGAGCATTCCACGGCGTGGTGCTGCCTCCGAAGCTTGAAGCATAGCGGTAGAGTCAAGGTGATGCATTGGCACCACTGTTACATTGGCCTTCGTCGGTGGTTGGGCATCGTCTCTGGTTTCAAGCTCCTGCTTTCAAACGGGACGGACGAATTTTACAACAGGCACGACCTCCGCAACAAGGGCAAACATGCGCGAGTAGTGTAGAGCTGGATGGAGACGAGGGTGTGCACGCCCCTTTCGAGGTCCTTCGGCTTGTCCATCCCCGCTTCGGTGGCGAGTCTGCTGTAGACACCAGGCTCCTAGGCGTTGGACTCTGACACTGAATGTGGCTATGGCCACCAACTACCGGCTGGCAACTCTCCACTGCTTAGACACCACTTTCCTTCACGGTTCAGGCTGTTCAAGCTACGCGGCGCGGCCTGTTGTGGAAATCGTACTGGAACAGCCCAGTCTTCTCGGCTGGCTTCCTGCAATAATCAGTTCAGGATGATTCTGGCATCTGTCATTGGCCACGCGTGCAAGTTTCGGTAACCCGGGCCTCTACCGATCTCATCACCGCTTCCAGTGGCCGCTTCCTCCACATCTGAGACTCATCTTCGGGAATCGGTCGGATGCACTTAAACCATGCCGCAGACAGTTCTGGCACAGCCAACTGAGCTCTGAAAGTATCGAAACGTCCAGGGCGGCCTCGCTAAGCAGAGTCTTTGGATATTGTGATGTGTGTTTTCCTTGACAAAGAACCCATCTTGGTCCTGATACGCTCGGCTTCCGGGGCCACCTGCGCAGCGTGCTTGTCTGTCGTGCTCACAAAGACGCGGGTGCGGAGAGTAACGGGAACCGATTCCGCACAATTGTAACAGGAACGTGTGGCCGCAACAACATCAAGCAAACGACCAGCGTCACAGGAACTCTCTCTCTCTCTCTGTCCCTCTCTCTGCCTCTGCCAGGACCCTGAACCCCAGGCCCTGAACCTTTAAGCCCTAACGCCTTGCTGCCGGATGACTTACTTTTTTTAGTCAGACGAGCCTGGGATTCGTTGGAGCCTGCTTTGGGTGGTGTAGGGTTAAGGACGGTTCAGGGCCTTTCGGCGCTTTCAGTTCCTGTTACAAGCGGCCCTGTTACAGGAACCAGCTGGTTCGCGTTACGATGTCGGGGCTGGTTTCAGTCACACCGCTTCTATTACGGTCGGCCGGTTCTCGTTCAAACAAACACTCACACAGGCGCTGAGGCTACGATCTTCGATGTCCTTTTCGTTTTCGGTATCTCGAACTGAGCGGCTGACTAAACCTATGGTTCGACGTAAAGCCCGCGAGAACTCAGGTCGGCCCCTATCGGTTATGCAGGGATCAGCTAGAATATGCCCAGGGGTGACCCCTATCGGTTTTGCAGGGATCAGC